CTAAAAAGTAGAAATAAATAAATATATATATGTATATATATATATAAATATATATATATAACAAAAAATAGGAAAATAATGGACAAAATCCGCAATAACAAGGAAAGTGGATTCGAGCAAAAAATAGGATAGGTAACCCGAGCGATACGTATTTCTGCTGGTTGGCTTCATCAGGCCCGAAATGAATGCACATATGCAATTACAAAAGTAGATACACATGCCCATACATCCAGATACGGGTGTAACCTGAGGAAACAAAGATGGAGAGGGGAAAAGATCACACCCGAAGTCCACAACAAGAGCCAACCTATACATTGTAGTATAAAATGGCTAGAAGACGCAGCCATTATTTTCCATATGTGCATTCATTTCGGACCTGATGAAGCCAACGAGCAGAAATACGTACCGCTCGGGTTACCTATCCTATTGTATGCTCGAATCCACTTTCCTCCTTTTGCGGATTTTGCTCATTATTTTCCTACTTTTTGTTATATACCTTTATCCGCATGATCATTTTCTTTTTGTAGATCCTTCGGGCTTGAAGTACCACAGCAAGTGTCTATAACCGGCCGCGTGGTTGTGGTTAGATGTCTCCTTGAAAATTCGAGGTCTTCTAGCCATTTTATACTACAATGTGTAGGTTGGCTCTTGTTGTGGACTTCGAGTGTCGTTTTTTTCCCCTCCATCTTCGTTTCCTCAGGTTACACCCGTATCCGGATGTGTGGACATGTGTATCTACCTTTGCAGTTTGATATGTGCATTCATTTCGGGCCTGATGAAGCCAACCAGCAGAAATACGTATCGCTCGGGTTACTTATCCTATTTTTTTTTGCTCGAATCCACTTTCCTTCTTTTTGCGGATTTTGCCCATTATTTAATTTTTTTTTGTTATACCTTTCTCCGCATGATAATTTTCTATATATGTATATACATATACATTATCAATATATATATACGAGTATATATATGTTGCTAAATTTTATCAAAAACTGTTTTCTAGCATGACGAAAGGGAACATAAAAAAATAGCTCAAAATTTTTCAAAAGATGAGAAAATGGTGTTAGTATCGTTTGTCAGTAAATGCAAAATCATAATCGAGGGCAAAAAGAGATACAGTTTCCTGGAAAGAGAAAAATTCTGTTTCTACAGCTTTTTTGTAAGACGAAATCTTGCAATGAAATTCAGGGTGTCAAATTCGGTCGATGGCGGATTATTTTTGGTCTTCTTGCCTCTTCGTCTCTGCTATACGCATTCAAGTCGTGATCTATGCACATGTTTCAGCTTTAATTGATATTTATGGATAAATGATATTGATTTTTGCATAAACGCCAAAGCCTGTGTCAAAAAACGTCAGGTATCTAACTACAGCCTTAGTTAACTCATAGATGGTTTTCTGGTTGATGTCTTACTAACATATAAACATGATATAGAAAAATGCTTTTCCATAGATAACTATAACTTAAGACTATGGTCGTAGTTGACCTGAGACTGAAAAACCGTTCTTTAATGTTGCAATGGAGCATACTTGTTTGGACGGCGACAACGTTGAACAGCATTTTTAGAGAAATGTGTGACTATTAAGTAACAACATTTTAACGCAAACGATCCGAGCAGGCAGTTACCCCATGCCGTGTTAGGCATCGTAATTTTGCTGGACATTTTTCATCTACGGCATCTAAGGCCCGTATCGTCAGTCGTTCCTACAATTGTAGGGCGCGTTTATGGCCTCCTTGATTGTGATACTCCTGTCTCTCCTTCAAAAGTCTCTAGATTACACTTGTCCCGTCTCAGCGTCAGCGCTCTCCTATTGTGAAGATATGTTTTCTTTTTAAATTGTAGGAAATTTCAGGCTGATAAAACATGATATAACTCAAAAGCAAGCGCAATTTGATGCAAATAGATGTTTGTGACATAACCTCAAAATAGAGCGCTGACACGGAGAAGTAGAAAACTATGACAATCAAGTAGGCCATAAAGGCGCCCTACAATTGTAGGGACGACTGACGATACGGGCCTAAGTCTTCGAGGGACTGATCTTACCTTTCAATTATGTACCAGCTTTAAAAGAAACTTTTATATAAAATAAATTAAAATTAAGGCTATATGAGCAGTTTTGCTTTATATAAAATAAATTAAAATTAAGACTATATGAGCAGTGCTGCATGTTTGTGGTTCATGTTAGACGGTCTAGAAGTTCTATATCCAACTCTAACCATGACTATTACTGAGATGGAGGTGCAGCAAAAAGCAAATGTGCAAAGCAATCTACACAAAATTTATACCTAACCATGTTACGGGGTAGTACTCGTCATTTGGTGAAAGCACGCACACACACTAAGTCTTAGTATCACTTCATATTCAAAGGAATGCTAAACTATCACTGGTATTTAATAGAACCTGACACTACTTGGCATTCTTTCGTAAAATCATGGCTAGGCATTTACCATCAATGATAGTCCGGCAACTGCCAGATTCAGACTGATAAAAATTTTATACAGTGTATTAATTATAAAATAGCGCAGATGATCCAGACGTATGCCAAGAGTGGAGCAACTAATTATTTTGAATAGTTTATCTTTCCAAATCATAAATAAACTGAATATTGTAAAGCTAGCGTGAACTGAGTTATTATGAGCACCACCGGGCTAAAATTAGCATTGTCAGTTTAGTTTTCTATCTACCCGATTCGGCCGATCCGTTCAGGTTGACATTACTTTTCAAAAGAATATTTTCATAAAGAATTTTCCGATTATATTCAGTCATTGACGTTGAAATGGAATAAAAGAAGCTGTATGTGAGATATTAATGGAATATTTTTTCTTTGAAATGCTTTTATTGCCTTTTTGCAATTTTGTATTTTTATATTTTATAAACTCGCTACCCTGAATATGTAAGTAAGCGAAAGCTTGGAATTCCGTTTTAGAGCTTCCAAGTTTGAAGCAACTCTGATTGCAACTGGGCTTTCAAACATTGTCTCACGACATTTTTTTGTATACCTTTGACAATTTTATCTTTTTTATGTTTAATAAAATTACCATGTTAAAGACAGAACTAAAAGCTTGGAAGACCGTTTTGTAGCTCCCAAGCATGAAGTAGTTCTGATTGCAGCAGAGCTAGCAAAAATTGCGTGGCGAGCTTTCTTATATACCTTTGACAATTTTGTTTTTTCTCTGCCAGCGTACTCTGGCGGAGCATGTTTCTCGAATTTTTCGAGTACTGGTCTTTCGTAGTCCGGGATAGCCTGCCATTCGTTCAGGTACGATTGATCCTCCTTCTTTGTGGACTTTGACACTTTAAGCTTTTCGTCTTTTTCGGTTTTCTGTGAACATTTGCCGAATTTCAAAGAAACTATGCTTCTGGTACTCTTTATGTTGTGCAATATACACAATGGAGAGGTTGATCGTACTTTGAAACCTATAGTTGCAGTGTAGGATCAAGTATTTTTTGATCGATGAATAACATTCTTTTAGAGAAACATTGTAAATTCTATGCTGGCGTTTACAGCTTTTGTGAAGATCTGAAGTATAAACATGACCGAAAGAAAGCAAATGATGACTTTAAGAAACTTAAGCATTAAAGTACGATCATACTTTTACACGTGGATGCGTTGAACATTTTTTGAGTTTAATATTCGTCGGTTAATAAACATGCTTAACATGACGCTCCGTTTGATCTATGGCATTTGCCCTAAAGCATTTTGTATTTCAAATCACAACTATTTTGAAAAGCACCCCAACAGTTTTTAAAAGCATGATGCTTCTGGCTACATATTATCTATAGACTTTCTGAGCTTCTCTAGCTGTTAATTACCGTCTATGTGGGATGGCCAATGCTTCAGCCGTGTGTAACCTTGCAAAATGCATGCAAGGAGCCCAAGTGCTGTGATGATCTTGATCGTGAATACGTTTACTCAAAAAATGTTCATAGAATTCATATTGGCAATATTGTGCAGTATACAAAACGGAAGCTTCTTCATACAGATATGTACATAGAGTAAGACAATAATAAAATTTAAATCCGTATATGTTATTAAAGAAGTATCACACAATTAGGAATAGACAGGAGAAGATAGAGAAACAGGTAGCGACAGAGAAGAAGGCGGATTTAGTGCAAGATAGATAATAACGTATATTGAGAAGAGATACGGCGCGTTATCGACGAAATAGAGCCACAGTTGCGCGAAAACGTTATCCAGAATTTTAAGAAAAGGGACTCTGCCACAGGTTTGGTGGTGGCCATTTACCGGATGTCCTATTTCATGTTTAATCGCAACTATGTTGAAATATAAATACTCGCTTAATTCGAAAATAAATTGTGTTTTCCTTGAAAATCAAATCTAGCGCTCTTATTGAGACACCCTTTATATATATATTCTTTCAGACAATGATAGAACGATTGGTTTCTTAGAAAAATAGTGCTGTTTCATTACTCTGTATACAGGATCCCAGTATTCCGTGGACATACAAGTGCCACGTATCCTTAGACTAACTAGTAAGTCGATTGGACATTATTTACCTGTATGCAAAAGTGCTTTGTTTGTCCGTCAGAGGGCGTCGACGTTTTCTTTTTAAAATACAGGTATTTTTGGAAAGAAGAGTCTGATTTCAATTTCCAAAAAATCGAAAGGGTTCGAGAAGTGTGAAAACTACACCCACCCCTACATAAATAATAGCAGAATTTTTTGGTTTCTGCAAATGTTATTGCAGAAAAAGTGTTGGCATGTATCAAGAGATATCCGAATCGACGAATTCCAAATCGTGAGACTTTTGCAAGCATATAACGCTGACTTTGACAATTTGGAAGAATTCCAACCTTTAAGAGCCAAATTGTAACAAGTAATGCCCTACTTGGGACACCCTGTATATTTCATACATTTTTTACCTATCGCATGCCTTAGGGGTTTAGATATTTAGAAGATAGCCCATTTCTTTGCTGCATGTTCTTTCTTCCAGCTTCCTTCTTCTCTCGCTAATTTTTCCCCCATATGATTTTTCTAATAGACTGTTTCGGGACAGCAAGCCTTCAAATGTGAAGTTGAACACAAGTTTGGAGTCGTATGCGTTGGATCTGGAGCTGTGGTCTGTAAAGTTACCTTGAACAGGGGAGGATATGTGCCAGGAGAAAGTATAGGTATGTACAGGTATGATGATCAGCCAGCAGCGCGAAACGCGATAGTCCCGTCGACATAGACATATATTTGTAATAAAGTAGTTGCAAGTGTGTGATGGGGTAATAAATTAGACTTTAAAGTCCGCAAACTAAATTGTTAGGAATATGTATATCTAGATGAATTGAATGCAATGCAATGTCATGATATTCAATTTAATGAATTCATTTCTGCTATACTACAACTATTTAAAACTGTAATGACTCATACGCGTGATCAATACGTGATCAGAGCTCGATCCCGGCTTCCTTCCAGTACAGCCGTATAGCGTACGGTCGTTTCTGTGGCTTTGCGGTGGTCAACAGCACAGACAGAGATAGAAATAATGGTCGCGCCTCGACCGGCAGACTCATAGGCGTCAGCAACGCATTGAACGTGTTTCGTTGAGTGATCGCATATTGTGTGTTTTTATAAGAATTGTTGTGTGATTGTTATTGTTGTGGTTTCTGTGGTTACTGTCTTGGTTATACTTAACCATGGAGAGTACAAATGGCACGAGTGGAAGTACTGAAAGCCAGAGAACAAGTAGACGGCTTCGTAAAGCACTGAAGAGGGACGCGAAAGAAATCGTGCTCAACGTGTTCAATTATCTTAACAGAACTATGTCGCAGGGAGATGCACTCGCGCGTTGTATGACAGGCGTTCCAGAGTGGACCATTCGCAGGGTGGTGCATGAAAAGAAGAAAACTGGAGCTACTACTGATCCAAAGTTTAATTTGAAGGGACGAAAGGCCGTTAAATTGGATGACGATAGCAAAATGGCGTTAAGGCGAACCGTACATTCATTCTTCTTTAGGAATGAGATACCAACCCTCAAGGCTGTACATGCAGCGATCAAGGAAAATGAAATTATACCCCAAATGAGCGTCGAGGTAATGAGGAAATCCCTGCACGAAATTAATTTTCGTTACGAAACGCGTAATCGGAAGTCAGTATTGATAGAGATACCTGAAATAGTCGCCTGGCGTCGAAAATACCTACGCGAAATGATTGAATATAGGCGACAAAGCAGAAAAATCTATTATTTGGACGAGACATGGGTAAATGCAGGTCACACAGTTAAAAAAACCTGGATAGACAAAAACGTAGTGAGTAACCGACAAGCAAGCATTGAAGGTTTGTCAACAGGTCTTCGTGGACCGTCAGGGAAAGGTCAAAGATTGATCGTAACTCATATTGGTAGCGATAGTGGCTTTTTAGAAGAGTGTGACTTGATTTTCGTCTCTAAGAAAGGAGGTGATTACCATGACGAGATGAATGCCAGCTGCTTGCAGAGCTGGTTTCAAGGGGTGCTTCAGCGAGTTGAGCCCAACTCTGTGATCGTCATGGATAATGCTTCCTACCATAGTCGTCGAGCCGAACGTGTACCGACTATGGGATCTCGAAAAAGTGACATGCAGCAATGGTTGCGCGAAAAAGGAATCCCGTTTGACGATTCATGTGTGAAAGTGGAATTGTACGAAAAAATTAAACAGCACAAACCTGCGAACATTAGTTACGCGACTGATGAGATGGCCAGTCAATATGGTGTCACTATGCTGCGGTTACCGCCCTACCACTGTGAACTGAACCCAATAGAGCTCATCTGGGCTCAAGTGAAGGGTTATATTGCGCGCCATAACACAACCTTCAAATTACCAGACGTTAAGGTTTTACTTGAGACTTCCATACAGCTAGTCACGCCCGAAGCTTGGCGTCATGTTGTGAAGGAAGAAACAAAAATGTGGCAGCTTGACCACCACATCGACACCATCATAGAGCCAGTTACAGTCAATTTCAACGAGGAAAGCGATAGCGACAGTTTATTACTGTTAGATGTAAGTGGAAGCGACGATGAATAAAGGTAATTCCCAAATTTTTGACTTACAATATGTTTCAAATCACTCTTTATTAAGCATGTGACAAATCTAGTTCACCCAAGTAAAACATTCATACCCCGCCTATGAACAGCCGACTACTGGTAGTTAAGTGATGTTTACGTGAACATCGATGAGTCATTACAGTTTTAGATAGTTATAGTATAGTATCTCAAATCTGTATAGTACTGTATCTGAAATTTAATATGTATCTAACACATCTCTGTAAGCGAAAAACTGTAAGCATGTGTGGAGAATGATCCCATGCCAGAGTGGCGACTTCACCCTACTATGGAAGTATGCATGGTAACTGGTGAGCCGTGTTTTCTGAGACATTGAATTTCTCAGATTACGTATCAGATAAACAGACTTTGTAATATAAAAAGGAAGATTGCTACTGAGCGAGTCTACTTATTTTTTTCTCCGTTTATTTCAGGTGTAACCGCTAGCGTCTATAATAGAAGTAGGGTCACAATAAAAAGTACAAAAGCTGCCCTAACGGAGACAATTACATACTTGTCAAGAGGCAAAGTTGTACAATGTGAAAAGAGAGAGCTAGCTTCACTAACAAGGGGTAAAATAAGACCAGGGGAGAAGGACGAATGGGTAAACGAGCAATTGTACATCCCACCTTTACCACCTACGAACCTTAGGGGCTGTCATCTTATCAAAATAGACTATGACGTATTTGTAAGTATGAAGAAGCTTTAGATAATTAATAATCAATAATAATGCTTGCTCTGTCGTATTTCTATCGACTTCATACCTATGATAGAGGTTACTTTTGCCCTGCTTCCATCCGTTTTCTGATCCATGGACATAAGGTGGCCGCACCCAGAGCCCCGGCTTGATGTTGGGGCCGTAAAAGGAAATAAATTTAAGAAATTCTCGCTGAACACGTTCACCACAAATCTTATATACCTCATAATATGGATTCCTATAATTCCTTATTAAAAACCGGTATGCTCATAATGCTTCAGATACAGTTTTCTCAATATGTTATGGAAAGAATAACTTACAATTGGAAAAACACCTCTGTACATCTAATTAGGTTATTTTCATCAATCTTATATCTAAATTTCTTCCTTGTGAGAGTCACCACCTTACACTTGTCTACAGCAAAGCCAAGTTTTTCTACTGTTCCACATCCAATAAATCATTTATAAAAATTAGAAAAATCAACGGTTTCAAATTTGATGCCTGTAGAACGCCAGATATAGCTAGGCTTGCGACTTGAACCCGTTAAACGAGAAAAATTGCTGTCTGTTAAGGATGATATCATAAACTTCACAGAAAATCCCAAATCTACTAATTTGTCAACCAAAAACCTATGATCAACTTTATCAAAAGCTTTAACGGAATCCGAATATATTGCGTCTACCTGACTGCATCATCAAGATCTGCTGATATGTATACTAAGTGACATATAAATCCGAACACCCAGTTTAAATGGTTTTATTTTAATAAAAGTTGGTGAATGTATTTATCTTACTGTAAATAACAAGTGACAAAATTTTCAGCCTTATCAGTTGGACATTCCGGTTTTAATACTGCTTTTTTTAATTCACTAACGCTCTAAAAATGAATATTTCAGCCGCAGTAAAGAATCAACGTTGGCGGATTTTGGTTCTTGACATCCTTTACGATCGGTTACGATGCCTAGAGTACGGAGACCTGTACGATTTCGTCAACTTGTGAGTTTGATAGGGGCCGTATAGTGGAACTTCGGGAAGCTGGACTTTCTTTTCGGGCAATTGCAGTTAGAGTGCAAAGAAGTGTAGACACTGTGGTTAGGTGTTGTCAGGCATGGCTTCGAGAAGGCCGTACGCAAAGAGCAAGGGGCACTGGACGCCGCCGTAGAACAACAGACCGTGTAGATCGCCGCCTAAGATTATTGGCCTTAAGGGACCGTTTCTCCACTACCAGGTCTTTAGTGACGAGTCTCGATTTTGTTTAGGCATGGTCGTGCCAGGGTTAGAAGGCGACGTGGTGAAAGGAGGAATCCACAGTTTTTTGTTGAAAGACATGTTCATCACACTGTTGGAGTTATGGTTTGGGGTGCTATAGCTTATGGTTCCAGGTCACCTTTAATCTTCATCAGAGGTAACATGAACGCGCAGCGTTATATCCACGAAGTTCTAGAACCCCATCTCTTACCCTATCTTGACACCCTGGCAGATCCAACTTTCCAACAAGATAATGCCCGACCACATGTTGCAAGAGTCACAATAGACTTCTTTCAACATAATTATGTCACATTGTTACCATGGCCACCAAGATCTCCCGACTTATCCCCAATTGAGCACGTGTGGGATATGATGGGTAGGAGATTGCTCAATTTGCAACGTCCTCCTCAGACTCTAGAAGCACTTCGAGAGGAGTTGGTGGTTGCCTGGAATGAGATACCACAGGAGGACATTGACCACCTGATCAGAAGCATGCCTAGGCGCGTTGGAGAATGCGTAGCACATCAGGGTGCATCCACACATTATTAACGGTCAAAGGGCTTTAAAGCAGTGCAATCATTTTGAAATTTTTATCATTTACTTATTATGCTTCATTAAGTACTTATACAAAATTTTATTAAAATAAAACCATTTAAACTGGGTGTTCGGATTTATATGTCACTTAGTATATTTAGGAACTACTATATTAGTAAATTAGTGATAACAAATCCCTGGCAAATCGAGAGCTAATTCTCATGCGGCCGTGCAAAATTATCTCATAGATATTTGCATACACAGAAACAATTGACACACTAGTAAAATGGTAAAGCATCATAGGAAAATGATCAGATGGATAAAAGCTCTGATTGTTCACTTAATGAGGAATTCAAAATGTCGTACTGCTACATGTGAATATTGTTCGAGATTGTCACCAAGACACAAGCTTCGTAAGTTTTTTCTCAATTAAAAACTGAGCTGTCTAGGTCTTCCACTGTGCTTACCTTGACGTTCCTACAAAGCAGCTTCTGCACGTAATGAACAAATTTATGCGTCACGCGCTAAAAACGCCCAGGCAAACTAACATCAAATCGACAGGTTTGCTGTTGCCACAGGAATGCTCTATTCTCGATCCTCAAATGTGATTTATAAACAAACAGCTGGGTTTATCTACACGGCACGGAACGCCTTATATGACGTACTTTCTTAACGGTCCCTCTGCCAGAGACAGGGCATATCACAGGACCCTTGGAATCTGATATATCACTGTTTTCCTAAGATTTTGGTGTAAACAGTGTGTCCCAGATTCTCTTCTCTATACAGTAATCTCGGCTCCTCTATACTTACGGCAAAGGTTAAATGAGGGAAGTTTTAGAGGAAACTCAGTGCTTCCGATAGCCGGCTTCAGATGTACGATCGGTCAATTGGTTTTGAAAATATCAGCGAAAAACCGAAAATGGCGGACGTTGTTTTTTGCCAGTAAATCCAAAACGGTTAATTTGATAGCTGTCAAAATGTGACATTTTTTTTAAGAAAAATAAGATAGCATGTGTGACATGTCTCAATCGTCTTTTGTTTTCCAGCAATCCGCCTCAACTTTCATTTTCCGTATGGCCGCCATCTTGAATTTGTTGATTTTTGGGAAGAGTGTAAAATTTCCAGTCTAGTGATGTCTCACAAGTGCATAAAAGATTGGAGTATCACCGAAATATCATCACACGTAATGTTATGTATTAGTTTTTTTTTAAGGAGACCATGATTTATTTGTCAGAAAATAACATTAATGAGTAAGGCATAAAAAACACATAAACACCTTGAATTTTCTATAGAATGTAACGTTAATATCGATTTCTCAGAAGTCAAATATTTTGAGTCAAATTCCCAACTATGTGAGATTTGCAAAATCACGTTAATTTGTATCCAGACATTTTTGACAACTGGTGACTGTTTTTCGTACAACTTTAGCTAGTGTATTTCTGTTAATGTAAACATTTCTAACTGTGCTCAAAGTTCATTGTCTCAGGATATCTATGGTCCCGGGGCATCAAATTCACAGACCTCATTTCTTGTGTGACCCCAGAGTTAGAAATCCAAGGGTGAAAGGTTAGGGGATCTAGGAGGCCAAGATATTGAACCATTCAATTAAATTATTCTTTCATCAAACTGCCCTCTTAAGAAGTTCCTGACTTGAATGGTGTTGAAAACCAGGGTTTTCTAAACTCATCTTCGGTTAGGCTAGCTCGTAAAGCCGGTACAACCTGATTTCGCAAAAGCTCTAGGTACCTCTGTCCGTATAGGATATCTATGGTCCCGGGGGATCAAATTCACAGACCTCATTTCTTGTGTGGCCCCAGAGGTAGAAATCCAAGGGTGAAAGGTTAGGGGATCTAGGAGGCCAAGATATTGAACCATTCAATTAAATTATTCTTTCATCAAACTGCTCTCTTAAGAAGTTCCTGACATGAATGGTGTTGAAAACCAGGGTTTTCTAAACTCATCTTCGGTTAGGCTAGCTCGTAAAGCCGGTACAACCTGATTTCGCAAAAGCTCTAGGTACCTCTGTCCGTATAGGATATCTATAGTCCCGGGGGATCAAATTCACAGACCTCATTTCTTGTGTGACCCCAGAGGTAGAAATCCAAGGGTGAAAGGTTAGGGGATCTAGGAGGCCAAGATATTGAACCATTTAATTAAATTATTCTTTCATCAAACTGCTCTCTTAAGAAGTTCCTGACATGAATGGTGTTGAAAACTAGGGTTTTCTAAACTCATCTTCGGTTAGGCTAGCTCGTAAAGCCGGTACAACCTGATTTCGCAAAAGCTCTAGGTACCTCTGTCCGTATAGGATATCTATGGTCCCGGGGGATCAAATTCACATACCTCATTTCTCGTCTGACCCCAGAGGTAGAAATCCAAGGGTGAAAGGTTAGGGGATCTAGGAGGCCAAGATATTGAACCATTCAATTAAATTATTCTTTCATCAAACTGCTCTCTTAAGAAGTTCCTGACATGAATGGTGTTGAAAACCAGGGTTTTCTAAACTCATCTTCGGTTAGGCTAGCTCGTAAAGCCGGTACAACCTGATTTCGCAAAAGCTCTAGGTACCTCTGTCCGTATAGGATATCTATGGTCCCGGGGGATCAAATTCACAGACCTCATTTCTCGTCTGACCCCAGAGGTAGAAATCCAAGGGTGAAAGGTTAGGGGATCTAGGAGGCCAAGATATTGAACCATTCAATTAAATTATTCTTTCATCAAACTGCTCTCTTAAGAAGTTCCTGACTTGAATGGTGTTGAAAACCAGGGTTTTCTAAACTCATCTTCGGTTAGGCTAGCTCGTAAAGCCGGTACAACCTGATTTCGCTAAAGCTCTAGGTACCTCTGTCCGTATAGGATATCTATGGTCCCGGGGGATCAAATTCACAGACCTCATTTCTCGTCTGACCCCAGAGGTAGAAATCCAAGGGTGAAAGGTTAGGGGATCTAGGAGGCCAAGATATTGAACCATTCAATTAAATTATTCTTTCATCAAACTGCTCTCTTAAGAAGTTCCTGACTTGAATGGTGTTAAAAACCAGGGTTTTCTAAACTCATCTTCGGTTAGGCTAACTCGTAAAGCCGGCACAACCTGATTTCGCAAAAGCTCTAGGTACCGCTGTCCGTTTAGGTTGTAGTCAAACAAAAATGGTCCTATAAGTCTATTTCCTGAAATGATTAATACCTAATTTCTAATAGGTGCCCAATAAAAAAGGTAAGTTAGATTAAATTACCGATGACCCTACACCAAACCTTAGTTCCAAATCTAGTCTGTAGACGTTTCTCTGCCACTTCGTCAGGGTTTTCCACTTCCCAATGATGAACTTTGTGCTTATTAAAAACTCCACAATTCGTAAACCTACTCTCTTCGGACCACAAGACATTATTTACAGGAACGGGATTTTCATTAGACTTCCTAGTATAGCATTCACAGAAGCGCATTCGCCTTGGAAAATCAGTTTCCTTAAGTCCTTGAACTATTGTAGGTTTGTATGTATGGTACTTATACTCTGTACTGTTGATTTTGACACACCAATTTCTTGTTCTTACTGATGCACTAGGCATTTCGTTGACAGCTTGTAGAATGTTTTTGGCGCGATTTTCATTTTCAATGTTGTATCCGCTTCTAGGTTTTTCAAAGGCCCCATGGTTTATTAAATTAACTACTATTTTTCTAAGTTGGGCTTTATGAGGCTGCAGTCGTTCGGAACGGGTATCACGTATCTTGAAAAGTGACATTATGCGTTTTTTTTTGACATTATGCTGTTTTCTTTGACATTATGTAGGTTTTTCTACAAGATGTTAGCTTAGCACTTAGTTGTACGTATTGCCTAAACGTCATAAGGCTTGTTATCAATCTTTGGTTCTGATGTGATGTAAAATCTGCTTCTGAGATGGTATTACTGGAGGTCTAAGCTGTAAGTGGTATGTGTTGATGATAATTACATTGGGTTCTTGTCTCAAATACACATAATTGAGATTCAAAGCAAGAAATTAGATGCGCAGTAACTTTTTTATCCATTCTTTAAATTACCTACACAAACTTGCTGAATTTCAAAAATGAGAGAGATGAATAATTATATTCACTGTACACTGTCGAATTACAAGCCATATACATGCTACCAGTAATTACAGAATTACACACAACGCGGGCGCGGTGCTGATTTCCCGTAATTCTCCTCAATTTTTCGTAATTTATAACTTTGAGCCTAACCTCTCTTCAGAAAGCACAACATAAAAATAACCCGTCGGGCACAGCCAATAGATATACTTCATTGGTAGCATATTCAGTAATGATCTTCTCACACAGCAAATATCACTGATTTTATACACATGCAGACCAATACACATAATCATCCAGATGCGATCTTGCTATTCATCACACAACCAACTTTCTTTTCAGAGATAAAAACTACAGACTAGGACCACTCGGCCTCATAAAACGCATGCAACCAATAATGCGTGTAGTTTAGTTGAGTGATTCCTCCATAGATGGACGTTAACAACGATCCTAGTGAGCAAACATGGAACCGACCGTTTGTGCCCTAAAAACTACCTAGTTTTCAAGATGACATATTATAGATTTTATTGACGTTTTATAGGGTTTTCACAGGATACCCGTGCGGGTTACATCTCCAAGTACCTTGCTGAGGTAATTTCGGCATTTCTATGTGACTGCAAGTACACCGCTAACATGTCAAACTTTTCTTCATTTGGGAAGGGAATATCCGTCATTTTCAACAGGTTTTGACAATTTTTTCCCCAGATTTATGATTTTAATGAGAGAAAGCGTACCTACTATTTATCAAAACACAATTTTAATCCTAAGAATTATTTAACGTCAGAGTCAGAGCCTCCTATGATAAAAATATGTTACTTATTAATTTTATTTTCTGACAAATAAATCATGGCATCCTTAGAAAAAAATTAATACATAACATTTTTATGCACTTTTGAGACATCACTAGGCTGGAAATTTTACGCTCTTTTTAAAAATCGATAAATCCAATATGGAGGCCATAAGAAAAATGAAAGACGAGGCAGGTCGCGGGAAAGCAAAAGACGATTGAGATATGTCATACACGCTATCTTATTTGCCTTGAAAAATGTCTGAATAATGTCACATTTTGACAGATGTCAAATTAACCGTTTCGGGTTTACTGGCAAAAAAAAACAAAATTCGACATTTGCGGTTTTTCAATTTGACAACATGGTAACCAGTATTGACGTACATAATTATTAAGAACTGACTAGCCCAAACGTATGATGACTAATTTTTGTGAAATAATTTTGATAAAACTGGAATTTTCAAAAATATTATTTTTTTAGTTCATTGTTGAGCCAAAAAGCTTGCAGAAAGAGGTGAAACTTCAGCTACCGATAGTAATGGCAACTTATCCTCTACGGTCCGAAGATGATAATGCTGCCTATAAGCCTGGAACCCACTATCCCTCAACCTTACCCATTTTCAGACCTTGGCTTGAAGATAAACCAATTCAAGAGTAACAATATTTTAGATTCTCATATTTTTAACACTAAACGCGCATTTTGCTCATAATGACGTGAGTAGTCGTCCGTATTTTCGGACAGTCCAGAACATGTGACATCGAATTGTATAATGCTGATCATATGATACAATATGGTAATAATATGCTTGTTAGTAGTGGAAAAAGTTCTAAACATACTCCGATAGGGAAGGCGTTCATATCCTGGTTCGCCTTTCGTACTAGGTATGTAATATACTACTGAATACGTCATTATTAAGAAACAGCGATTATGACGTATAAAATGGAACAGGTCAAAACTTATTACTATTCTCAAAGATGTTACCTTATAGGAGGTTGTTAAGAACTTTTCCAGAGTCGTTGCTGAACTTTCATACACTTTGAACTTCAACGAATTGTCGAAGTATAAGCTGGAAAATGCTTATAACTTTATAATTATATCTTCAAACTGTATCTATTACCTATCAAGAGAATTGGGCCTTGTAGATGTTCACTGTACCATATAGTCACCATGAATCGGTAACTGAACATGTCAGAGGTTTTGATACTAAACATGACTATTGTTATATGTAATGAAGTATGAAGGTGCTATAAGAGTTGCTAATGCAAGAGTAAAGAACTGCCATATTTTAATAGGTTATAAGTGATTCTGTAAATATACTAAGATTTTTATTAATAAAACCTGCAAGAAGTTATTCTTTTTGTTTTACTTTCCTCGTAAATCCCAACACAAAATTGTTATTGGATTAGGAATCTGGACACCCACGAGTTATTTAACCAATAATAGTTTAAAAAAACTAAAAAACACCCTTTTACAGCTAGCGGAACTAAAAAGTAGAAAATAATTTTTAATTACAGTAGTAGATGGTCAATCATAATTAATGACCTCAAAATAAAATTATTATAAAATTCAAGTTATTAACAGAATAATTCAATTTAGAGTAAAAAGCGTGGGGCGCTTGATATATTAAATGTTAAAATCATTCTATTGGCAACTATCTATGAGAGGAGAGTTATGAATAAAATGCACCCCACGCTTTTTAATCTAAATTGAATTATTCTGTTAATAACCTAAATTTTATTATAATGTTACTTTGAGGTAATTAATTATGGTTGACCATCTACTACTGTAATATAAGCTCTTTGTAATTAAACATTATTTTCTACTTTTTAGTTTGGCTAGCTATAAAAGCGTGTTTTTTTAGTTTTTTCAAACTAATATTTTTTTTTTCATTTTTTAGTTCGATGTATCACTAAGTTTTCTTATGGACATGTGGTATTGAAATGTCTTACGCATCGGTCTCTATGTTAAATTAGATATTAGCACTAATCTTATCCCAGTTGAGCTCGATGACTTTATAAATCCTCTTGAAATGTTATGCTATAAGTTTAAACTGCACGGGTCCAGTATGTTAATTGTTGTTATATATAGGCCACCACATTGCTCTATACATCAAGCCATCCAGTGTTTAGAAAATCTTATCTCATTTTTCACTCCCCAATATGACAACATTATATTCTTGGGCGATATGAATGTCGACTTGCTTGCTCATAACAATAATTTCAAGTCATTGATGAGCCTACACGTGTTACAGCCTTCAGTTCCACATTACTTGATCCAATATTTGTTAGTGACAATACTATCGTCAAAAGGTCAGGGACGCCCAATGCAGACTCAATTAGTGATCATCGGCTCACATACTGTGATATTTCCGTTTGTTATAAAAAAATAGAGCCTAAATTTGTAACATATAGAAATCTTAATAGCATTGATATTCAAAGTTTTAAGACGCAGATTGCATCAATGCAGCTTAATGACATTTATTTCGTGAATGATGTGGATATTAAAGTCTCTATTTTTACTGGCCGTCTTCTTTATCTATTCGATCTCTACCCTCCTCTACGTACAGTACGTGTCACAAAACCTGCTGCGGCCTGGCTCACTCCTAACTTGAAAATGATATTTCAACTCAGAGACGAGGCATTTGCTGTCTATCAGCATAACAGATCTGATCAGAATTGGGCCAACTACAAAGATTTGAGAAATTATGCCCTTGCATCGCTTAGAAGAGAGAAAAAAGCATATACGTCACGTTTCCGGAATCTTAACTCTAGTCAAGCTTGAAAACACCTGAGGCGGATGAATGTGGTAGCCCAGAAACATGTTGCGATACCTCCCAGTCTCCTTGAGCCTAACATTTTAAATAATTATTTTCTTTCAATTTTCCAGAGAGCTGCAGCTGATCCAAATTTGATTGATAGTGTCTCTAACTCTTATAGCGATAGACGTCATACACCGGATGCACCTCTGTTTGCTTTTAAACTCCTTACTCAGCAAGACATCGTCAATATAATCTCTCACATTAAGTCTACGGCATGTGGCTCTGATGGTCTAACTTTAAATATGGTTTGCTTATGTTTGCCTGATACCATAGACCATATAACTCACATTATTAAGGTCTGTCTCGAAACAGGTTAATTTCCTGCCAGTTGGAAAAATGGTATTACTATTCCAATAGCTAAAACTAATCATCCACAACAATATTCGGATCTCAGGCCAATTACCTTATTATGCTTTCTATCAAAAATACTCGAAAGAGCTGTCTACTCACAACTAGTGGAGTTTTTCGAACAAAATCACTTATTTCCTCTACATCAGTCAGGTTTCAGAGCTGGTTACAGCACTACTTCGTCTCTATTACATCTTACTGATTCCATCATTCACAATTTAGACAATCACATCAACACCGTCTTGGTACTGTTAGATTTCTCGAAAGCCTTTGATATGGTCAATCACCAGATACTACTGAGTAAGTTATCTCATTATGGAATGTCAGATATAGTTCTAAGGTTCTTTGAGTCATACTTGCTAAATCGTCAACAAACAGTGAAAACTGCTCAGGGAATTTCCTCCTCTTAGCGAATTCCTTCAGGAATTCCTCAGGGATCAGTATTAGGTCCCTTACTATATCTGATTTATATGATCGATCTGCAAGACTGTTTAGTCCACTGTAGTATGCAAACTTATGCAGATGATACTCAGTTAGTGTTTGGTTTCGATCCATCAATGGTTGATGAAGTTTCTTTTAAAGTTAATTTAGACTTGGCTAACATCGGTGATTACTGTAACAAACACTGCTTGAAGATCAATCCCAATAAAACTACTGCAATGTTGTACTGTTCGGAGAACTCCTACCGTCAAATGAAGCAGAGGATTTGTGTTTTTTTGGATGAGACACTCATCCCTTTTGTGGATTACGCCAAGAATCTCGGTGTTACCCTTGATTTAAATATGAGATTCCATCGGCATGTCTCTTTCTTATCTAGAGTAACGTATTTGCGTTTGAAACTCCTCTACTCTAATCGATACATCTTGAATTTTAAAACCCGAAAAAAGCTCGCTGAAAGTCTTGTGTTGTCTGTCATTTGTTACTCTCTTGTTCTGTATTACCCATGTTTAGACTACGTCCACAAAAGGAAACTCCAGAAAATTCAGAACAGCTGTTGTAGGTTTATTTTTGGATTGCGCAAGTTTAGTCGCGTCTCAGATAAAATCAAAGAACTCAACTGGTTGCGAATTGATAAGTTATTTTTATATCTTTTGACCGTCTTCACGCATAAAGTTCTACTATCTAACAGACCAGCTTACCTCGCTAGCAAATTTGTTCACCGAGGTAGTTTTGTTACCAGAGCTCTTAGATTTAATGCTAATTTTAACATGCGTCCTCACAATACCTCGGTCTTTGAAAGAAGTTACATCTATAATGCTGTCAAGCATTACAATGCAGTCAACAGTGGCTATCGATCCAAACAGGGTGTTTCTTTTAAGAAATTAATGAAAAGTCAGCTGCTGGAGTCCATTTAGTTCAGTTTTTCTTGTGCTCATGTGATTTTTATTTTTTTTGTTGACTATTTTCTTCTATTTTTGTTTCAAATTTAAAACTCTCGCAATACTGTCTGCATTTGTCTCGTGCAATCAATGTTGTCATTCTTATGAATTGTATTTTTTTTTGGTATGTTATTATTTTGCTTATGTGTTTAAGTATTATTTTTTCCTGTTGTGGGGTTGAGTGTAAGAGTAGCCGTCTGGCTAAACTTCGCCTCACTGCAGTTAATAAAGGCATTATTATTATTATTATTATTTTGAAATATAATCATTTCATTTAAAGCTTCACTGTTGCATGGGTTTTTTCCTGATAACTTAGAGCAATCAATTTCTTCAATCCAAATACTGTCTAAAGATCTTACACGACTAAGTGCTACATAAGCTTGTCCAGAAGCAAACAGTCGCGAGCATAGATAAATGACTGCATGATCGACTGTACAACCTTGCATCCTGTGCACATTCACAACGAACAAGGTGAGAATGCACTATCTTGTAAAAGTATCTGCCTCCGTTGCGCTGTGCCGAGTGGCCAAACCAACAAAGAGTAAGTCTGAAACTGCACGCATGCGCAGAACTCTCTTACTCCCGCACAGAGGATCTATGAAGGAATTTATAAATCCTAGGCCAAGCTAATGTATAAAATAAAATAGTAATAGGGAGTTATTGAAATACTGCCATTCATCACTGCCGACCTTAGATTAATAATGATAAGCAGAGACTGATCTTAAAATTGTTTCAGAACTAAGGTTATTCAGTGCATTTCCGTGCACAATTTCTAACCTAGAAATATGGGGATAAAATAAACTTTTATCTTCTTTAAAAGTGTACCAACACTGATTTAATTCCAAGTATCTTATTTATTATAAAGTTTTGCTATTGTTGTTGTACTTCTTCGTGTTTTGCAACCTTGGAGGTAAATATCATTGGTTTAAATTTTACGGCCAAAGGGTCCATGATTTTCACCAATTAAACTTACAATCAGCGAACAGTACAAAATAATAGTGGGAAAATCGCAAAGGAAACAGCTTTCCGTATATAATTTCTTTTATCTGCGAAAACTACTATAAAAAGTGAGGTTATTCGCACAAAAAGAAGGCTGTGCCACGATTTTAAGCGTCCTTTAATAGTGGCAGTCACTAACTTTATTAATTCCAAGTCTTATTTTTGTTTTACTGCGCCTCCTCAGATTTCAACTCCGGCCAGGAATTATTAGTGTCTGACTTTATTGGACGTTCAATAACTGCCTAATAATGAAAAAAATTAGAAAGGATGTAAAAAATAAAAAAGGTATACCACAATCTGCCTCCTGTGAGGATTGAACTCACGACTTCTGGTTTACAAGACTCTGACACTGAGCTACAGAGGCTTGTAGTTTCAATAACGTAAAGCGGCATTTCAAATCCATGGCTTTTTATTAATATATCTGCTTTTTACAGAATTTCACTTATAAGGATAATGGAAAACTGTTATCAAATTATTGAATTGTCATCGGCCTTGATACGTGTGCGAAGTTTCATATTAATCAAAATTCTGGAAATTCCTGGATTTGCTCAAAGATTCATACATACAGGCCAAGCTAATAAAAGCGTGTTAAAAATTGCGCAAAATTATGCGACTTTGAGGTGCTAGAAATTCCTTTTTAGGAAACCACGGTAATTTGAAGTGTGAAATCCTGACTTGACGTAGAATTTAGACAATATGACCGAAGCATCGAAAGGTACCTATTCAGGATAAGCAGAAAGTTCTCTCCAAAGATAAGAGAGGGCGCAGCCCTCCTGTTTCTATTAACAGATCAATAATTCTTTGATG